CATTTTTGAACTCATAATAACGAATTCAGCTTTGATATATCAGCATACCAAACATACAGTATAAAATGCAGATTATAAATGAAGCTGTCAAAATAGAAATAAAATATTAATAAAATAACATGGAAACTTCAAACAGCATTCATCAAAGTAAGAAATTTAGTGAAGTCTTCATTTGATATTGTGTCTTTAATCCCCTTGAAAAACAAGCATAATCATATTCATATATTCATAATATATAACACTGAACCCTTGTATAATTCTCTTATCAACATGGGGTGTATAATTAGAAGGTAGGAGAATGGACGATTCACCCATTAGAAGGGCATGAAAAAGACCTTAATCAAAGCAATTGTGTAATCCCATACTGTAACAATACAAGTTTATCCTGATATTATGTGCTGCTCTGAAATACTGTCTAGACAGTTATACTAGAACTGAACAAACAGCAAAAGTACAGCTGTAATGTGGAAAGAAAATTCATATTGGGAAATAATCGGTTTGATTAAATTTTGTTATGCGAGACAAGACAGGAAGCTTCAATTTGAAATGTAGTATTTATGAAAAAAAATTGAAAAAATAGTCAGTTTTTGATATGTGCCTTTTGTATATTGCAAAAGATGAAGAAAGAATGTTTGGTTGTTTGCAAGCACTGTGGTTTTAATCCCTCTTGTCTGTTGGTTTGTAGCCTTTTATTTGTAATGTTACTTTACAAATGAAATACAATGGAATCCATCAAAGTCAGACTCTAGCTAATCCAGATCTCTTGTCATGAAGACATAAATAGAGAGAAAACTTTGGCCAGCAGGAAGTTTCAACATGATTTATAAGGTTTCTTGGTATTAATGGAAGTGTGTTGTGTAGTTTACTATAAATCAGTTTTACATTCTCTATCTGCCACCTGTTATCTGAAAACCTGTCATCAGTTTGTGTAAAACCTCTCATCTGTGCAACTGTCATCTAATTGTCTGTCACCTGTCATCAGTTTGTCTGTCACCTGTCATTTGTTTGTCACCTGTCATCAGTTTGTTTGGCACCTGTCATCAGTTTGTTTGTCACCTGTCATCAGTTTGTTTGTCACCTGTCATCAGTTTGTCATCAGTTTGTTTGTCACCTGTCATCAGTTTTTCTGGCAACTGTCATCAGTTTGTTTGTCACCTGTCATCAGTTTGTCTGGCACCTGTCATCAGTTTGTCTGGCACCTGTCATCAGTTTGTCTGGCAACTGTCATCAGTTTGTCATCAGTTTGTCTGTCACCTGTCATCAGTTTGTCTGTAACCTGTCATCAGTTTGTATGTCACCTGTCATCAGTTTGTCTGTAACCTGTCATCAGTTTGTATGTCACCTGTCATCAGTTTGTCTGTCACCTGTCATCAGTTTGTCTGTCACTTGTCATCAGTTTGTCTGTCACCTGTCATCAGTTTCTTTGTCATCTGTCATCAGTTTGTCTGTCACCTGTCATCAGTTTGTCACCTGTCATCAGTTTGTCTGTCACTTGTCATCAGTTTGTTTGTCACCTGTCATCAGTTTGTCTGTCACCTGTCATCAGTTTGTCTGTCACCTGTCATCAGTTTGTCTGTCAGTTTGTCTGTCACCTGTCATCAGTTTGTCTGTCACCTGTCATCAGTTTGTCTGTCACCTGTCATCAGTTTGTCTGTCACTTGTCATCAGTTTGTCTGTCACCTGTCATCAGTTTCTTTGTCACTTGTCATCAGTTTGTTTGTCACCTGTCATCAGTTTCTTTGTCATCTGTCATCAGTTTGTCTGTCACCTGTCATCAGTTTGTCTGTCACCTGTCATCAGTTTGTCTGTCAGTTTGTCTGTCACCTGTCATCAGTTTGTTTGTCACCTGTCATCAGTTTGTCTGTCACCTGTCATCAGTTTGTCTGTCACCTGTCATCAGTTTGTCTGTCACTTGTCATCAGTTTGTTTGTCACCTGTCATCAGTTTGTCTGGCAACTGTCATCAGTTTGTCACCTGTCATCAGTTTGTCTGTCACCTGTCATCAGTTTGTCTGTCACCTGTCATCAGTGTTTTTGTCACCGTCATCAGTTTGTTTGTCACCTTTCATCAGTTTGTCTGGCAACTGTCATCAGTTTGTCTGGCAGCTGTCATCAGTTTGTTTGTCATCTGTCATCAGTTTGTCTGTCTGTCACCTGTCACTGTCACCTGTCATCAGTTTGTTTGTCACCTGTCACCTGTCATCAGCTGTCATCAGTTTGTCTGTCACCTGTCATCAGTTTGTCTGTCACCAGTTTGTTTGTGTCATCAGTTTGTCTGTTGTCACCTGTCATCAGTTTGTTTGTCACCTGTCATCAGTTTGTCTGTCACCTGTCATCAGTTTGTTTGTCACCTGTCATCAGTTTGTTTGTCTGTCACCTGTCATCAGTTTGTTTGTCACCTGTCATCAGTTTGTCTGTCACCTGTCATCAGTTTGTCTGTCACCTGTCATCAGTTTGTCTGTCACTTGTCATCAGTTTGTTTGTCACCTGTCATCAGTTTGTCTGTCACCTGTCATCAGTTTGTCTGTCACCTGTCATCAGTTTGTCTGTCACCTGTCATCAGTTTGTTGTCACCTGTCATCAGTTTGTCTGTCACCTGTCATCAGTTTGTCTGTCACCTGTCATCAGTTTGTCTGTCACCTGTCATCAGTTTGTTTGTCACCTGTCATCAGTTTGTCAGTTTGTCTGTCACCTGTCATCAGTTTGTCTGTCACCTGTCATCAGTTTGTTTGTCTGTCATCAGTTTGTCCTGTCATCAGTTTGTTTGTCACCTGTCATCAGTTTGTTTGTCACCTGTCATCAGTTTGTCTGTCACCTGTCATCAGTTTGTTTGTCACCTGTCATCAGTTTGTTTGTCACCTGTCATCAGTTTGTCTGTCACCTGTCATCAGTTTGTCTGTCACCTGTCATCAGTTTGTCTGTCACCTGTCATCAGTTTGTCTGTCACCTGTCATCAGTTTGTCTTGTCATCACTGTCATCATCAGTTTGTCTGGCACCTGTCATCAGTTTGTCTGTCACCTGTCATCAGTTTGTCTGTCACCTGTCATCAGTGTTTTGTGTCAGTTTGTTTGTCACCTTTCATCCTGTCATCAGTTTGTTTGTCACCTGTCATCAGTTTGTTTGTCACCTGTCATCAGTTTGTCATCAGTTTGTTTGTCACCTGTCATCAGTTTGTCTGGCAACTGTCATCAGTTTGTTTGTCACCTGTCATCAGTTTGTCTGTCACCTGTCATCAGTTTGTCTGTCACCTGTCATCAGTTTGTCTGGCAACTGTCATCAGTTTGTCATCAGTTTGTCTGTCACCTGTCATCAGTTTGTCTGTAACCTGTCATCAGTTTGTCTGTCACCTGTCATCAGTTTGTCTGTCACCTGTCATCAGTTTGTCTGTCACTTGTCATCAGTTTGTCTGTCACCTGTCATCAGTTTCTTTGTCATCTGTCATCAGTTTGTCTGTCACCTGTCATCAGTTTGTCTGTCACCTGTCATCAGTTTGTCTGTCACCTGTCATCAGTTTGTTTGTCACCTGTCATCAGTTTGTCTGTCACCTGTCATCAGTTTGTCTGTCACCTGTCATCAGTTTGTCTGTCACCTGTCATCAGTTTGTCTGTCACCTGTCATCAGTTTGTCTGTCACCTGTCATCAGTTTGTCTGTCTGTCATCAGTTTGTCTGTCACCTGTCATCAGTTTGTTTGTCACCTGTCATCAGTTTGTTTGTCATCTGTCATCAGTTTGTCTGTCACCTGTCATCAGTTTCTTTGTCACCTGTCATCAGTTTGTCTGTCACCTGTCATCAGTTTGTCTGTCACCTGTCATCAGTTTGTTTGTCACCTGTCATCAGTTTGTCTGTCACCTGTCATCAGTTTGTTTGTCACCTGTCATCAGTTTGTCTGTCACCTGTCATCAGTTTGTCTGTCACCTGTCATCAGTTTGTCTGTCACCTGTCATCAGTTTGTTTGTCACCTGTCATCAGTTTGTCTGTCACCTGTCATGTTTGTCACCTGTCATCAGTTTGTCTGGCAACTGTCATCAGTCTGCCACCTGCCATCCATTTTCAATTTGTCTGGCACCTGTCCTCGGTGCATCTATCATCAATTTGCATGTCATCTGACCTGTCATCAATGTGTGACCATATGGCAGTTAAAATGCTACCACACTGGTCTTTGAAATGAAGCAGACCAATATGAGTACACAAGTAACTGACCTTGAGTTGGTAGGATTGCTAGCTTCAATGAGTGAGTGAGCGAGTTTTACGCAGCTTTTCGCAGTATTCCAGCAATATCAATGGAAAATCACCAGCAATGGGTTTCACACAGTATGCCTGAGTCTTCAGAGTGACGAGCAAACGCTTTAACCACTAGGCTACCCCGCTGCCCAGTTTTAGTCTGGGTACTCAAAATATCAGTAAACCATTATGTGACAAAAGCAGTACAGAAGACGCAGAAAAGTTGACTGTGTGTGTATCTATGTGTGTCTCTTGTTAAAACATTTGCTTGTCACTTTGAAATCATGAATTTGAATATTTGAAGTCTATTTCTGGTGTCCAGTGCCATGATATTGCTTGAATATTACTAAAAACATAAAAAATAATACTCTGTGGACATAGGTCTTCATGATTGAGTCCTTTCAATTGATAAATTCTGTTAAAAAAAGCATTGTTCACACCATATTATCTACTGTAATAACTGAAGCTTGTCTCCCATATCTTGTATGACGAGTATAGTTACTTCTACCGGTGGTCAGAGTTGCTTCCCTTACTTTGGTTCCAAGTCTGGCAGCTGCACAATCACCAAAGGTGTAAATGTGTGAGATCTCCCCTGCCAGGCTATATGTAACCTGGTGAGGCAGCATTAAACCCAACAAATTTACTCACATTATCAATATGTCTGTAACATGCAAGTGTTTGTTGATTATAAAAAAACAAACAATGATGAGGAATGTTAAGGATGGGTTTATAAATGTCAACATTTGTCATTACCAACATCATTTTTTTTCTCTTTCAGGGCTGTCCGACTCCTCCTCCCCATCTTCCTACATTGTGTGTGCATGGTGCCAAAAGACTGGAATGAAGCTGTTCACTTTGAAGAGCTCCACAGGCCTGAAGGCATTCTGTAGTGAGCTTTGCTTCACACAGTGTCGAAGAGCATCCTTCAAGAAGAACAAAGTATGTGACTGGTGTAAGCATGTGAGACATACAGTAAACTATGTGGACTTTCAGGATGGTGATCAGCAGCTTCAGTTCTGCAGCTCCAAATGTCTCAACCAGTATAAGATGAATATCTTCTGTAGGGAGACTCAGGAACACCTCAAACAGATGCAGCAGATGGGAGAGGACAGTGAAGATTCCCCCTCACCCAATGTACATGACAAACAGATCCTTATTACTCCAGATTTGTGGCTGTCAAAGAAGCAGGATCAAGCTCGGGGTATTAAGCGGGAAGACAAAGGAGAAGATGATGGTGAAGGGAGTGTAAGGGGGGAAAAGAACAGCACATTGTCCAAGAATTTTACATCATCAAGAAAGTTTGAGACACCGTCTGGAGCTGATAGATTTGCCAAAGATCGGGAACGCCTTCGCCGTGCCATAAGAGAGTCTAGAGAGGCTGCAAGATCATGTAGTCCACCCAGAAATGCAAGACAGTCTTCACCTAAAGCTCCTCTTCCAGGGACTTCCGGCTTTCCTCAGTGGATGCCTCCACCACATTTGATGGGTGGCCTTGCTCCGGGAATGGCATCACTGGGTATGTTCAACCCTATGATGTTTGGTGGACTTTTTGGAAACCCATCAGAACGACCGCCCCTTTTAACACCAGATGCAGGATGCTCTAGCAAACACAGAGACAGATCCCAGAGTACCTCTGGGGCCCCACTGTCCTTGTCCTCACCAGAAATATCTCCTTCCTCCACCAGTACAACACCAAACCTCCCTAGGACCTCTAGCTCAGCTGCAGAACCAAACATAAGATCTGTCTCATCACATAACCCAGCTCCGCCTCTTGGACCAGGGTTACCAAGAGGAAATTTTGGAGCAGGGTTGTTCCCATTTGGAGGTGCTCCAGGGGCACTACCTCCCATGTTTCCCGGTGATCCAGGTATGGGAAATATGTGTCCTCCTTTCTTTAATCCCCTTGGTCCAGGTCAGTTACCCCATCCAGGGATGCCACCACCTCCAGCAGGCAATGGCGTTCCTCCTGTCACAGTTATGGTACCTTTTCCAGTTGTTCTTCCTCTTCCAATACCAATCCCTGTACCTCTACCTATATCAATGGAAAAACTCATGAAATTCATGGCCGATAAACAAACAGAAAGCAATGCCTCCTCCTCCCCTGACACAAAGGTGGGCACAAGTGCAGATGAAGTCCATCTCCGTGATACATCCTCCCCTCAGTGCTCCACAACCGTTAATTCACGAGTTCACTTCCCTGGAGAGAATACACACAGGAGATTAACTGTGTCCCGAGACTCTGCTTCTAGTGGTTGTATAGATTGTGCATCTTGCAAACAACCAGACCGTCAAAGATCTGAATCAGCTGAACCTGCGATCACACAGAGGAAAGACCTCAAACCTTCTTTTATGATAGACTCACACATACTGAAACGGTCTCTCACACCTACCACTGCCAAGACACTTGAGCTGACCAAGAGACCAAAACTAGACCTGAAGAGCAATCAAACAGGTGCAATAGATCTGTCAAAAGACAGCTGTGTGTCCTCGGATTCAGAGGTCATGGGCAAAGAAAATCATCGGGTGTTTACGGTCAAGGATCGGCCATCTTCAGAGTCCTCAAAGACTGATGCTGAGGACTCGGAAGTGAACACAGGTCTGAAAGTGCCCAGGATTCATATTGTCTCCACAGCTGGAGAACCATCTCTTGCTTCACAACAGCTCCCTCTTCCGCCGACAGATCATGCGTATTCTCTACGGCGGAGCCTCATTTTAGACGCACCAAATGTCCCCAAGCAGCAGAAGAACTCTTACCAAGAACGCCCCTATGTTCGGAGTGTTCCGAGGGACATGATAGAGGCTGCTCGTAGACGATGTCTGAGAGCTCGTGTCCGAACAAAGTGAATTCAGTCACTCAGGCTTACACCAAGGCCCTTGACGCCAAAATGTTAACAAAAATATGACACATATATTTGAAATAAGAATTCAAAGAGCCAAGAGTATTTGTTTTAACTACATTGTTTTGTAAATGTATTTTTTCATACATTTTGGCGTCAAGTATCATGGCTTAACATATACCAACAGTTCCATGCATCGTCTAGGGTGTTACTTAATTATATGGGTAATACAGTTTTGAAAATTAAAAAAATGTATTAATTTATTCTTTGCCAGCATTTAACAAAGTAGTGCTTTACATATATATTTATGTTACAAATACATGTTGTGATGTTCCATTCTTGAAATGTCTCTAACTTTGAAATGTATCTTTGAATGTTTTCATGCATTACATATGACTCTAGTCACAGCTTGTCTTAGCAAGAGTAATGCTCTTCTTGTCATGTGAGGAGCATAACCGAACGCACTCAAATTACGCAATAGAGTTTTAAGATAATTTAAATTTCTCTGCAGGCGATAGCTTCCATATGTCGATCTGAATTAATGTTTTGTATAAAGGCAATAATTTTAACACTGAGGACGTTAAGGACTGACCGACTAATGTTTGTCTAGGGGCAGTCAGGATTCGATAGGTAACTGAGCCTGTGTAAGACCACTTGTCTTTTGGAATTAATGCAGAAGGGGTCGTTGTCGGCACGGGTAGTACAGACGTGTACCCTGGTTTGTTTCTCTACACAGAAACTTACCCTTGCCAAAATCAGAATACAGAAACGTACCCAACGACAAGTCCATTCCGCACTGTGTTGTTTCATTGATTGGAACTGTCATACTGTTGTATTAGATACATTTGATTGCATTATATAAGGAATAAGCATACACAGAAAGAATATTTCGCAATGCAGAATACCACCCGAAACCAGTTGAACGGACACAACCACATAGGGTATCTGTTTGGGGTGAGGAATAGGAACTTGTCCCCCGTTAAGAGTACAGGGTACGTTTCCTTATTTTGACTTTGTTAAGGGTGCATATCTGTATACAGAGACATACCCGGGGTACATATCTGTAGTACCCATGCCGACAACGAAGCCTTCAGCACGCCTATGTCATGACCCATTCTCTGTGCCTCATACATACACAAAGACGGATTGAAACCTATTTTTGTTTGAGCTTAGGTTAGTGATAAGTTTAAGTTTGTTTTCTTTCTTGATTTGGTGCGTCAATATGCAGTGATTTTGTGAACACACCTTAGTATGTTTAGTTCGGTTTTCGTTTCTCTGTTATTTTGCATATGTTTCCGGCTGCACCGGATGTGACGTTTGTGATGCGGTTCGTTATCAGGAGATTGCTTTGGCCGTTAGATTAGTATCAACCGATGTATAAAGTGAAGTTACCAAGTGTACCAGACGGGTTCACAAGCTAGTTCCCCTCGCCTTTCTGGCGTGTAGTTATTTACTCCTGCTACAGGTGTTAATCTCTAAAGGATCTCTTTCAGATTTGTGGTTTCCTACCAGATCTACATTTTACTAGCGGTTATGTAAAGACATTTTTAGTTCAAATTTTTAAACTTGATCAAGACAGGGATATCGTTTACATCTAATGCGAGTACACAAAGACGCATGTAAGTATTATAAAGAAGTTTATTGTAAGTTGATAATGTCAACTCTACACACACAAAACGTCTTGTTATATTTCAGAAATATAAGGGCAGTAAACACCTTTAATCCAGACAGAAACTTTTCCAGTAAAATCGTATTTTATAATTCATTTCTGGATTAATAGGTATTGAATTAGAATGTGACATAACGTGGTCGGTAAGGCCGGGTTTCCAGACTAACAAGGTAACACTCTATGGTATTTCTTCCATCTGGCGAAACTAAGGATTCTAATGTACATTTAACCACACTTAAAAACCGACAAAAGTGACAGTATCCATATTCAAGCGACCTCTGTAAATTTCGATTATTCTCTACTTAGCGAGGGGCGGTGGGGTAGCCTAGTGGTTAAAGCGTTGGCTCGTCACGCCGAAGACCCGGGTTCGATTCCCCACATGGGTACAATGTGTGAAGCCCATTTCTGGTGTCCCCCGCCGTAATATTGCTGGAATATTGATAAAAAGCGGTGTAAAACCATACTCACTCACTCACTCTACTTAGTGAAAAGTCCTGGTAACCCGAACGGCAGTTCACACGGTAAATCGTTTGAGTCGAACTACTAAATAACGCCTAACAATTTTCTGCACGATAAAATTAAAACTCTCTTTAATGCGAACGTCTGTAACACTCAATCGATTAAGTCAATATGTAATAAGAAAGTCTCTTATCGTATAACCAATGATAAGTACCAATTGTTTAAACGACAAAGTGAAAACTCTCGTTAATTCGAACCTCAGTAACAGAATCAACCGTTTATGTCGATATGTAACGTTATGGTATCTCATCTAGTAATTGAAAATAAGTAACACTTTGTTACACAATAAGGCGAAGCCTCCCTTTAATTATAATGTCAGTAATTGTTTACGTCAATACGTTACTGTACGTTCTCGTTTCGAACTACCAATAATTCTATCTAAGGTATCATATCCCCTAAACCAAGGGTCCACAGGGTTCCAGGGTGTGGTAGGTTTAAATATAGAGCGTATTTCACACCAACTGCTTTCTGCAAGAAATATCCTACATGTCTACATGAATAAATTCCCAGATAGCAGCAGCTTTCTATCAACAAGGGTAACTATGACAGCCTTTATTCCAATTTGGAGCAGCGGTTATAATAGGATTTGAGATAAATGATCCTCAATACACACCCTAGTCATTAATCTTTGAAACACAGTCACCATCGTTCATATTTGTAATTCAAACAATTTCCTCTTTTATCAAATAACGCCCGTATATTTCAGAATTACAAAACAAACAGGGGTGGTCGCATTAGTCAGTTTTCTAATGTCAAATAGTGCAGGGGGGTAATGTTACATTGCAAAGCGCGCGTCCTGTGGTATAATTGGAACAAATTGACCTACAAGAGAAGAGCTTTAATAATGAGCCGTTGAGACGATTGGGTCTTGTCCTTATGATAACATCAGACAGTCGGCTCGCGGGGAATATCGGATTTCATTGAAAAAGGTTAAAGGCTACTGGTGATAGCCATTTTTATGTACTTTGTTTCACCTATCTAAATACTCTCTGGAACCGCTGTAACCGTATATCCTTCCATATTGGAAACCGGATCTCTTAACCGGACCAGCTCTGATCCAAGTGCTTTATAACCCAACAACGTCCGGTTCAGGTGGTTGTCTGTGGGAGGCAGAGATTAAAATGTTGAGGGGGAGGCCGTGGTTAGGGGGGTGGGTGTGGGTGTGGTTGGGGGGATTCTGTCCATATAAAAGTATTGTGAACTTACGAGGTAATTATACAATTTCGAGACTTTTTTGTGTGTAATTCAAATATCTAAGCATTGGATATTTGTGATTTTTATTCAGATGGCAGCTATTTCAGTGATAGGTTTGATTAAAATTTCAAGGTGAGGTGTAAAATATGGAGCAAGCAATACTGAATGAGCACGTTTTACATTAATTATTGTGGTACAATAGGGGACTAGACTTTATCCTGTTTTATTGCGACTGTGTTTAGGTCTGTGTGTTTTGAAATGTGGTGTAACCAAAAGGCGTTTGAAGGTTTACATTCAGAATTAAATACCACCGGGTACCCACTCACCATGGGTGAAATAATTTGTTGATAACGCACATATGTCGTTCTGCCTGTGTGAATTGTTGATACGCTTTCAGATGAAAATAATATCGAAAATTTATGATATTTAATAGAACTTGCAAAGTTGTTGTTGCAACTAAGAGCAATATGTCTTCCGATTCTCCAACTAGAAAAATGGACATCTAGAAATAAGGTGTGTTCCCTTTACTTCGGAAGCAAGAACTCTCGTGTGATCTCATGTGATCTCGTGTGATCCCATGTGATCTCGTGAGTCAAGTTACATGTGATATAAAATGCTGATATATGTTTGACAGCCTTAGATACTTTCAGCTAGTTTATCACAGAAGGGTTTAGTTCTCGGCGTAAGTTGATATTTAACGGACATGGCATAAAACGTTTGATGGATGAATAATGTCTAAGCAAATTATATTGAAAAACATCATATATGTCTGAAATAACACCAGTACGACGGTCAATTTTAACTCTCAGTATTAAAAAACAATGTCACCTGGTAACCTTTCTCGAGTTATATTGCTGTTCCCATGACACTATACAATGTCGTAATCGTGAATCGTAATTTGAGAAAGGCGATGAGCTCATCATAGAAAATCACATAAAACAGAAAAGTACATATTACTTTGCACATTGATGATTTACCTTCTCAATACACACGTCAAGTAACTTATTTATATAATTAGTATCATGTTCCCGCACGTACTTAATCTTTCTAATATACTTCTCCATTTACTAAGAAGAAACTATAGTGTAGCTGAGGGGTAATATTTGAGCCTGATAGAGAAATATACTGGACAAAATAAGTTACGAATATTGGTATTTTTATGATTGATATTTTATCAGTGTGTCAATGAATAAATAGATCATTATTCATAATTTCAAAATTTACATATATTCCTAACTATTTTTGTCCAGTATGTGATAGCAGTAATGAACTTGCGTTGTCTAAGGCTGCTCTTATGACTTTTAGTAAAATCTTGAAAATCTACCTTATCTAGCATTGTATCACAGTTGTTAAAGTGACTGTCTAAGCCAGCTTGACTTGCCTATCTCACACTATTTTTGGACAGTTTGTAGCGTCTGCAAGCGTTTAATACTGAGGTATTATATTTCGAAGTCAGTTGCATCAAATTCCACCCACTGATTCCAAGTGCAGTTGTAGCAAGATAGTCTACAAATAGGACTGGAAAGTGAGAACTCGAGTCTGTTGTCTGAGAAGCTGTAATCAATATTGCATTATGTTCTTACATTTGTTTGAATTGAACGATCTGAAAACCCCTTCAGTAAAATGTTCCGTATGATACCATACGCTAATGTTGACATTTAACACCCCTTTAATTGTGGGAATATGATGTAATACTTGACCCCTGGCTTGTTTTGTTATGTTCAATTTCACAAAACAAACGCTCCACGACCGCGACGAGAATGTTTCCGTAAAGTTTCCGTTAATATCTGTCGGTCCTACATGTACACGGGACAAAGTAATATAAGACGCCGCAGCTCGCTCTACGTAGTTGCGGACGGTGGGGTAGCCAAGTGGTTAAAGCGTTCGCTCTTCACACCGAAGACCAGGGTTCGATTCCCCACATCGGTACAATGTGTGGAGCCCATTTCTGGTGTCCCGCCGTGTTATTGCTGAAATATTAATAAAACCCAACTCACTCACTCTACGGAGTCGCGCCCCTTGTGCTCAACAGAAACTGATTGCAGGTTCGAATCCCAGTTCTCGGTTATTTTTCCAGGTTTATCAGAACCATCCTCATCCTCGTAGGTTTCACTGAGCTGGTAAACGTGTGACACTGGTATTCGTTCAGCATACAGATGAAACGCCGTTTTATAGCTAGAATACTGATTTGTTATAGGTAGAATACTGATTTGTTATATCTAGAATACTGATTTATAGGGGAGTTGAACCGAACTCATTCACTCACTCGCAATACTGCATTACATTTGCTATGTACCACCTCTACAGTCGGGTGAAACCCATACAATGCTGCACATTTCAATGAAACAAATAGATACTATTTTTATGATGTATTTGAGGGGTATTCTGTGTATCTTAAACATACTAAGTCCATCTGTGCTGCTTAGTAGTATTGTATATTGTATCTTGTTCTTTATGTCAGATCGGATAACATGTTTACGTGCTACGAATTCCACAGTCGGGTTGGTGCACCTTGTAATATAGAGTTGCGTCCCTTTGCCATGTGATGATCCGTTGGTTGTCGGTTCGAATTACAGACTCATCCTGACCATCAACACCTTTTCCCTTGCAGCTAGTGTCACCAAAGAGATAGAATATAACGGCTTACATCTCTTTAGGCTTGCCTCCCCAATAAGCTGACTCAATGACATAAACGAAATGTTTTTCAAATCGGCATTAAACCCAGCCCACTCACTCACTCACCTCAGATAGGGCTTATGTGCTGCATCTTCCATGGTGCAGGTGCAGCACCCATCTCGCTTCACTTGGCAGTTGTTATGTACGAAGTCTTTGTTGATATGTATATTATGATTATTATTATTATCTACTATATATCATGTTAAGCGCGTGTATATATACGTTTGTTATTATCTACTGGCTTTAAAACAGAGTCCAACAGGTATTTGGGGTGAAATATAGTCTCATACAGCGCTGTGTTACACGGTGTGGAAACGGAACTTAAGAGTTACCTACCCTTAATATGGAACATGTCGGACGTAACAAAGCTCCTCACTATACACAGTAAACTACGTTTATAACGAACTCTCTTATACCGAAATGACGGATATAACGAACTGACGGATATAACGAACTGACGGATATAACGGACTGGCGGATATAACGAACTGACGGATATAACGGACTGGCGGATATAACGAACTGACGGATATAACGAAATGTTTTGTCCCAGCCACTTGCTCTCTATTGTAGTCGAGATGCGTATACGGAACTACGGTTATACCGAATTAAAATAAGTATTCCCTTTGAGTTCGTTATAACCGTAGTTTATTGTACACGTGTCGACAAGATGTAACAACAAGGAGTTAAAATCTGACAGTAATTATATTAGCGTGGAGATGGGAACCAAGTAACTTATTCTATTAATTTGAAAATGTCCATTGTTTATAATACCCTTTTTAATATATTTTCTAACATACCAAGAAAGCATGTTTGAAATATATACTCAGCAAGAAAAGTTAAGGACCACCCCAATATTCAATATTTAAGTATAATATGGATCATAATATATAGAGATTATTACACGAGCAAGT